ATGCTTGGTACTAACAGTTTAATTCAAATAGGATAATTAAGTGTACAACTCAGAGGTATATAAATCTTTTTTTTAAAGATTGATTCATTTATGCATACAGAGCTGGGGTACAGACCAGAAGTGCAGGATAGTGAGAGGCTTCACCCAAGACAGAGTGGGGAGCAGAAGAGACCTACTGAAGAAGTACACTGCTGAGGGGAGGTGGAGGATGGGAGCTACAGGAGAGGTCTGCTGCACCATGTGGGTCATCCCCGAGGCTGGGATCAAATTCATGCTGAAGTGGCTAGAGCTTCTTAGTGTTGTGCTTTAACCGCTGCACCATCAGGGAGGGCCCTAAATCTTTTTAATATCTTACCCTTCTATTCAGTATTCTTATAGCTCACTGCATATTACAGAAGGAAAAGAGCTTTTTAGCATGTTAAGCACAAAGAGCCTAAAATCAGAGACGTCTGTCCTTTTTAAGCTTACAGGTGTTATATTTCCACTGGGAGAGTAGGGAAAAGAGATAACTTGCATTCAAGTTAATCTCTTACAGAATTTAAAACCCATTTAGGGAGTGTGTTTGAACTGTGAGCAAGTGGAAATTATGTTAATGAGAAAAGTAAACTTTACTACTGCTATTTTAGAACTGCCACTAAGATAAGAACACTAGAAATTCATTTTTTCATCAACACAAGGTAAGTTTATATATGAAAGTTTAAAAAAAGGAGAGAATCTGCTACACAACGTAGGCAGGCAGTGTGCTTTATTTTGAAATTTGAATTTATACATTGTTCTTAAATGTTAAAGCTTTACATTTTACTATGAAATATATTGCTGCTGGGCTCTCCCTGGTGGGGCAAGGGGTTAAAGCACAGCATTATGGAGTTATCTGTAGCCACTGCAGTGTGAGTTCAATCCCCAGCCAGGGAGGTGACCCACATGGCATAGTAGACCACTCCTGCCTGCTCTGTCCTCCGCTCCCCTCAGCATTGTATTTCAGTAGCTTCTCCTTTCTGCTCCAGTCTGTCTCTGGTGAGTCCTCTCAGCCCCAGTTCTTGCATGCATAAATAAATAAATCTTAAAAAAAAATCTATTGCTGTTTTTCTACTGAAAACTTAGAAGTTAATAAATATAGTTGTAGTTGATCTTGTATAATACAAATATTGGACAGTTTGCCTTTTCCTTGCCAAGTTTCCTCTTTGCTTGAAATTGTTTTTGTTTTCAGTTTTATTTGTCTGTGCATACAAGGACTGGGGTGGAGGCCAGAAGTAAAGGGGTGAGAGGATTCACCAGAGACAAGAGTTGGGAGCAGAACAGGCAGAGCCACTGAAATACACTGCTGAGGGGAGCAGTGGGCAAGGCAAGAGAGCTCTGCTTTGCCATGTGGGTTAGCTCCATGGCCCAGGGATCGAACTCATGCTGCAGTGGCTGACGATAGCTTGATAGCATTGAGACTAACTGTGCGCCACTAGGGAGGCTCTTGTTTTAGTTTATAATTGAGTCAAGATTTTTATGTGAAAATTTTTCTTTAAAAAAAAGTTTTAAAACTTGGGCCCTCTCTGGTGGCGCAGCGGGTTAAAGCACAGCACTGAGAACCTAAAAGCTGCTTCCGCATGAGTTCAATTCCCGCTGCCCCGGAGGTGACCACATGGTGTGCAGACCTCTCCTGACCCACCCGCTGCTCCCCTCAGCAGTGTACTTCGTCGATCTACCTGTTCTGTTCCCCACTCTGTCTCTGGTGAAGCCTCTCACTGCCCCTGAGCCTCTGGCCTTTACCCCAGTTCTGTGTGCACAAATAAGTAAATCTTTAAAAAAAAAAAAAGTTTTAAAACTTTATTACATATATATATTTTCTAACATTTTTTCATTTTTGTACAATGTGTGCTTTTCATCTCAGGTGTAGTCCCCATAAAGTTCCCATTACCAGTTCACCTGTGCACCATCAACATAGTTCCTTTTGTTCTTCCTACCCATTTTGATCCTACTCCCCTGTCCCTTCCTACAGAACGTTTCTGGTTTATAGTTGTATGTTAATTTTGATGTTTATTTTATTATTATTTTTCCCCTGACTCTCTACTTGTATCCTCCACATTCTCCTAAGAATGAAACCATCTGGTATTTTTTTCTGGCTTATTTCACTGAACCTGATCCATTCCAGCTCCATCTATGTTGCTGCAAATGGCATGAGTTAATCATTTTTGATCGCTGAGTAATATTCCACTGTGGTATATGTACTACATCTTCCTGATCCAGTAATCTATTTTTGGGCATCTGGGTTTTTCCATATCTTAGCTATTATAAGTAATGCTGCAATATAGGGGTGCAGGTGTCCTTTTGAATTAATGTTTTTTTGTGTCCTTTGGGTAAATAATAGGAGTGGAATTGCTGGTTGATATGGGAGCTCCATTTTTAGCAGTTCGAGGAAATTCCAAATAGCTTTCCATAGTGGTTGGACTAGTTTGCATTCCCACCAGTAATGTAGCAAAGTTCCTTTTACTCCACATCCTCACCAATATTTTGTTGTTGCTATTCTTTTTAATATGTGCCATTCTCAGTGGTGTGAGGTGGTATTTCATTGTAGTTTTGAGTTGCATTCCTCTGATTACATATGATGATGAACATTTTTTCATATGCCTGTGGGCCATTTATATTTCCTCTTTGGAGAATGTCTTTTTAGCTCTTTTGCCCATTTTTTGATTGGATTTTTTACTTCATTTTTGTTCAGTTTCATGGGCTTTTTGTGGATCTTTGTGATCAGTTAGAGTTGTGCAAAAATTTTCTCCCAGTCAGTGGGCTGTCTTTGTTTTGGTTCAAGTCTCTTTTGCTGTACAGGAACTCTTAAACTTGATGTAATCCCATCTATTTATTCTTTCCTTCACTATCTTTGCTTTGGGTGGTGTCACTGAACATGTTAATCATGTAGTGAAAAAAACCAAAAACCTTGAAACTGTCTTTTGCACATATTCTTGGGCTATCTCTTCCTAAGTTCTTGGATATTTCTTCTCTTCCTCATGTTTCATTAATTTGCCATCTCACTACAATTTAGGTTTAATCCTCAAATTTAATCACCAGAAATTGTTCTTTGAGAGATCATTTAAGGTCTGCCAACTGTGATGGTTGCTTGCCTTAATATTTCTGTTTACTCTGTATAGCATGTATATCAATCATTTTACTCCTTAAAAACTGTATGACCTATGTTTGTTTTTCTTTGAATGGCTTCTTTTGCCTGTCTATCCCTGTTAAATGTAGTCTCCATGGTTCCTACTCTTCGTCTCTAAATTAGCTTTATGATTCCATGGCTTCAGTCAGCCTTCATTGCTTATGTGAGCTCTAAATTCTCCTTTGCCCCCAAGTGTTGGTCATTCCTTTTCCTCCAAAAATCATTGCAATCACTATCTCTACAGTCATCTCATTGTAATTTGACTTATTTGGTTTTTCCTTTAACTGTATACAATGTATTATGAGATTTTCTTGAGTACATGGCAGACATACTTGTATAATTATCTATTCTGAGTAATCTTCCACAGTCATAGATGTTTCTCTCACTGGATCCTTACAGTAGCCTAAAATGTTAGATTGTCTGAAACCCCCTTTCCCCCATTTTTCCTAAGACTGGAATGATTGTTACTCTTCTGCTTAACATGATTCCATATGTCTATGATTCCATTCCTAATGAATAAAGGTCAAATACTTAATTAGCACAGCACTCAAGAACCTTCAGGATTACAAACCTCTGTGGCTTCAGCTACTACAATCTTGTCTTTGATGTGCCCACTTTTCAACTTTACCAGATGGTAGTACTTGCCATTTTTCTGTATCCCTTTGAACTTGTCTTTGCTAGAGAAATCTCTAACCTTAATTACATATATATAATTACCTACATATATATGTGTGTGTGTGTATATATATATTATATATATATATAAAATATATATATATATATGGTCAGCAGCATAGGTAACAATCTGAATTGTGGCTGGCATCTGAAAAAGCAGAGGCTTGTTTTTGGGGGCTGGACCCTTAATTTGTGGGATCTTCTGCTAACTCCAGGTAGTGTGAGAACTGAGTTAACTGCTTGGTGATGTGGAGGAAAATATAATAATTAGTGTCAGAACTGGAGAGGTATCAGTAAACTTACTGCTGCAAGTCAAGGTGGCAGTATCACAAATGAAGGATTTTACTTTCTGGGAACCATTCAGATACTATTACAATTGAGTAGTACTCATTTTAAAACAGGAGGTTATTGTGTTGCCTTTTACATGTAGATTTATCCAATTTCTCTCCTTTTTTTCTTGGAGATTTACCTTTACTTTTAGCAGCTTCCTGCAGAGGTTTTGCTATTGCTTACTCAGTTAAATTTACTTACCATGGACCATCGCTAGACCACTAGTTTTTTTTTTTTATGTGCCTTGTGAGGCAAGAAATGTTGTTTGTAGTTTTAAATGGTTGAATCAAAAAAATTGTAAAATACTTATGGGCCTTCTTGAAGGCTCAGTGTTGTCACCACTGAGCCCAAGTTCAATCCCAGTCTAGGGAGCTGACCCACATACAGCATAGCAGAAGGCTTTTCTCTCACCCTTTGTTCCCCTTCGCAGTGTATTTCAGTCAGTTGGCCTGTTCTGCTCCCCACTGTCTGGTGAATCCCCTGCATCTCTGCCTATACCTCACTTCTACAAAAGTTTAAGAAAAAAAAAAAAAATTACTATATAGCCCATTACAGAAAAATTTTGTTGACTCCTAGCCTAGTTGGTTATTTGCATATGGTCCTGTGTCTTTTTTCTTGTGACAAAAATACAGCTTTAGTTGAACTTTAAAGTTCTTTTATGAAGCCACAACATAAGTTTGATACCTGGCCAGGGAGGTGACCCACATGATGCAGCAGACCTCTCCTGACCTCTTTGTTGATCTGTCTGTTCTGCTCCCCACTCTGTGGTGAATCCTCTTACACTCCCCTACCTCTGGTCTGTATCCCAGTCTTGTGTGCTTCAATAAATCTTTAAAAAGGAAATAAGAAAAATAGGTCCAAAACAAACTTTATTTACATAGGGCTAATAATATTAAGAACTCAAATACTGAATAAGCTTTTGGTTGTCTAGAAGTCCATGATTCACCAAAACTATTTTATAAGCAGTATAAAACTACATTTGGTATTTTTCTCAGTTCTCTGGTAGTCTTCAAGCTTACAAAGATTCAGAACACTTTAATGACAATTTATGAAATAGCGATAAAATGGAATAAGACCCTGAGAAGTCAGTCTCTCACAAAAAATACGTTATAGCCAAGTTCTATCAAAGCCCCAGTCAGTAAGGCCCATAAAGGAATGAAGACATAAGACAGATTCATGGTAGTAAACTGTTCCAGTTTCGCACACAGTGCAAGGCAGAAGGCTAATTTAAGTAACATTGCAATGAGGTACCAGGCTTTTTTTTTAATATTGTGTGATCCATGTCGAGGGTCAAAACCAGACTTACATCTCCCAGCCATTTTCACAATCAGCATGACAAGAAGAATAGTATCAAATATCCAGACAGGAATAAATATAAGGAACCAGTTCCAAGGTGCCTTCTCGTCCAGTTTCAACACCAACATGATCAAGAAGAGTAATGTGAAAAGCCAGGTGAGTAGTACTCTCTGAGCCAAGGACATTCTCATTTAAACAGTTTAAAGAGGCTGCTGTAGAGTTGGAAAAAAGGGAAACAAGCCCTAAGAAAAGGGGAAAAAAAAAGTTAAGATTGTTTTGATATCAGGAAAAAAAAAAAGTCACTTCCAATCCTACTGCACAAAGCTGGCTTTTTCCCACTCACAGATTTCTGAATTTTGGAAACATTCTAACATTCTTCCTTTAAAAGTCTGTAAAATTTGCAAATATCTTTGATTGCATTATATCCATTATTCCTTAAAGTGTGTGTCTTGGGTTTTTGTGTTTTTTTTTTGGTATATTCACTGTGTAGAAGCTCTATTAAACTGGCTCCTATACATTGAATATGTATAAAATATGATCCTATACATTGTTATCACTCAAGTCCAGACATTCATGTAACTTTATCTCTGCACCTCAAGGATTTCTTAACCTTTTTGTACCTTGTATCTCTATAAAATTTTCACTTAATTTCAAGGAGTACTACAAAAGCATTAAAAAAATCAAGGTAGCAAAAAAGGAGATGGTGTTATGCCAACAGGAGGGTTTTGGTGAAAATTAAACATTAAAAAGACATCAAGTAGAATTAGGATCTTTTAAGAGGCCTTTGGGTTAAGTAATATAGAAGAAGGCATTGATTACACTGGGTTTTTATAGTTTGAGCTTTATATTTTTAAATATTCTCACCAAAATTCTTATAACTACCTACTAGTCTAAAAGTTGTTTTTCCTTTTAATAGCTATTTTTTTTGTTATTTGCTATCCACTAATCAATACTGAATAATTACTAGATGATAAACTATTCAATGATTGGGTTATTTCTTATATCCTTATTGTAATAATCTAATTTCTATTTTGTACTAGTACTGTATGACTGTTACTGGATATGTTCTAGATATTGTTTATATCTGTAAGGACTACTACCTACTTAACTGTTTTTTTCACCCATTGTTTACTGCTATTATCAATAATGTCCTTTTATTCTTTTCAATGCCAAAATCACTAATTACCATAAACTTAGATTTGACCGGGAATGCATTAATCCTTAACTTGGATATGAGCATTACTTATCTTTACATATAGTTTTATAGTATGTTCTATACTTAAGTTTTTTTTTTTTTAAGATTTATTTATTTATGTGTATAAGAACCGGGGTATAGGCAAGAGGTGTGTGTTGGGGTGGGGGTGAGAGGATTCACAAGACACAGAAGTGAGAAGTAGAACTGGAGTGACTGAAATACACTGCTGAAGGGAGCAGCAGGTGATACAGGAGAGACAACAGCAGGTGAGACACCATGTAGGTCAGCTCCCTGGGTGGGGATCTAACTCCTATTGTAGTGGCTGCAGATTCAAAGTGCTGAGATATAACCCCTTGTGCCAGCAAGGAGGCTATTCATATACTTAAATTTTTTATATTAAGTTGTGGACATTTGGAATAAGAATAAGCAGAATGGTAAGTCAGAAGCCAGACTACATGCAGTTGGGTGAGGAGTTAATAAAAAATAGCAAAATGCAAACAGTCAGCAACATTTTATGCCCCTGAAACATTTGGAGAAATGTATAAGACAATGATACTGGTTACATTTTCACTAAAGGAGTAATCTATAAGTTGAGTGAAATCAGGTACTGGAAAGTGACAGAAGATGAGAGGAGTGGTCACTTGTGGAAGGAAACATCTGAAATTGATGGGGTTGGTAACAAAAGCCTAGGAGGTAAGAATAAAAATGCAGGAAAAAGGGGAAGTACATGGGAAATCAGAATTCAAACTGCCTGCAATTGGGTGAGAAGCAAACAGAAGGCAATGAAATGCAAAGATAAGAAATAAGGAAAAGGTGAATAAAATGGTGGAAAACCAAATGCCCTTAAGACACTGGTGTGTTTAACTCTGCAGTTCTCTGCTACACCTCCATGACTTTTAAACAGTGATTATCTTAGTATATATATTTTGTATCACTAGTGATATGAGGGTCTCTTAACTATCTTCCCTGGCCCCTACCTGCTGACACTCAAGTTGTTTATTTAGCTGGCAGATGGCTTCATGCTGCAGTATGAAAAACACATGCTCTGGTTCCCATGAGGCATTTTTTGTGGTGGTCTCCTTTCCTGGCCAGAGGAAGCCCTAGTGGAAAATAGGACTGATTTTGGAAGGCGAGGTAGTAGGGTATATGTAGATTAATAAGTAATGGATTTTCACCTTGTATACTAAGTTTGCTCAATTCTAATCTCCAATCTTTATAACCATTTTGTGTGTGTGTGTGTGAATCTTTAAAAAGTTCACGGTAAACTTGTTTAAACATAACTTTCCTATCAGCCTTTGGATAACTCAAGCTTCACTTTTTATCACAGACTGAGCAGCAACAGCACTCAAGTACTCTCCAACTGAATGTGAAAGGATGCACAGAACAGTCACCTGGCTATAGGTTTTACAGTATGGGACACACCCAAGTTCTGTATGCTCTTAAGACTTTTACAAAGCCCTCAACCTGGAACGTAAATGATACTTGAAGGATTGTAGATAGTGGGTTACAATGATATATGAATCCAGTTTTATTAACTTATTAATTAAATCTTAATGCGTTAACTTAAGCAACCGTATTTGCTTCCTTCTGCTATTCTTTGACTTCAGCGGATGTGGCTGCATTTCATTTTCCATTTGAAGTGGTTATTATCTGTTATTAAAACCTTCTGCATTGCCCCCAAATGGAAATGTCCACATCACCAGTCTTGATATCTGTTGTGTGGACTTACTAATTTGTCCTTGATGCTTCCCAAGCGATTTCCATTTCCCTCTATTATTACTGCCAGTACTCTGAACAAGTGAACTCGCCTCATTCCATAGTTTTGCTGAATGAACCTGTAACACAGAATTCCTCTAACCGAGTGGCCTTCAAAAGGCTCATGCTACGATAGCTCAGGCCAACTGAAATCATCCCTTAAGGGAAGCGCATTCTGTTTACAACGTACCTGATTTTCGGACCTACCAGCTGCTAGAATTCAGGACATTCCAAAACTATTTCTGCCCTATTCTTCAAACGCCCACCCTCCGCCAAAGTCTCCCTATCCGGGTCCCGGCCCTTCCACCACCGTCCTGCGCCGTGGGCCCCAGTACCTCTTGCAGTTTCACGGGTGCTTGCACAATGCACACAGAAACCCCGAAGCCAAACAGGCGAACCAGTGTTTGGGGACCGAGTGTTAAGAGGTGGACGCGGTGGTACAGCTGCCCCTAACCCCCAGGCTGCAAGAAACCAGGGCCAGGGCACTGCGGGGGCGAAAGCAACCGGACGAACGCCAGCCCCTCGGAGCCTCGGACTCACCTGGCAGTGCCGCTTGTCGGAGAGCGGTGAGGGGTGCGAAGATCCAGTAACTCGCCAGTTTGGATTCTTGACCTCTTCCACACTTTTTCCCCCATTAAACCCAGAAGCCGTCACATGATAATCAGGAGAAAAGATCTCAGTTCCGCCTCTCCAAAATACCGCGGTAGATGCTGTTTCGGGTCTACCTAAGGGCCGCTCCCACATCCGGGGCAGGGTCTCCCCGCCTCTGGGCTTAGCCTATAGGCAGAGAGGATGCCAACCTGGGCTCAGAGGCCCATTTCCCTGTGGTAATTGGACCATTTGGCTGCCGGTGCAAACCAACCGACCTCTGCCTACATTCGGATTTGTCAAAAAGGCAGATATAAAAGCACCCACTGGCTCCGCCTCTCTTCTGCTATGGGTTAGGAGGAGAGTCAGTTTTACCACAGCGTGGCTTACCTGTGGCCCCATTGGATCCACAAGTGCCAATCAGATCAGCTGCGCTCAGCCCCGCCCCTGGGGCGCCCCGCCCCCTCGCCCTCCCCGCCAGCGCGCGGTGACTGCAGGCTCCGGCGCAAAATCCTGCGGGAGAGGGGGTGGGGCGACGGCTCCTGAGCCAGCGAGCGGTCGGCAGCCTCGTTTTGAGTCCTCAGGCTCCTCGGCGGTGGCGACTCTCGCGCGGTGGCGACTCTCGCTCGGTGTCTTCCGCGCGCACTCCGGCCGCCTCCTAGCGGCGCGGCGCTCACTCCTCCGGTAAGAGCCGCATCGCCTTTGCGCCCGGGCGGGTTGTGTAGAGGTCGTTGGGTGCTGACAGAATCCCGAGGATGGAGCGGGACTAGGGCAGAGAGCCGCGGGTGTGATGGAGGTGGGGGCTCTGGGCCGACGCTGCGCCCTCCTTCGCCGGTGACTTTCCCGTCAGCCGCCGGCACCTGCGGACGGGGTCCCCTGCGGTCCCCTCCCATCATCTGGCCAGTGGCAGAGGCTCAGCGTTTGCTCTCGAGCCCGCGCCGTGCTCGAGCGTTGGTGATGACGGGCCGAAGCCCGGCGCCGCCGTCCGCCCCCTCCCGCGGCCCCTCTCTGCTTCCTTCCCCCGGCGCGGTACGGGGCGCGCGTCGGTCCTGGACCGGCGCGCGGCGGCGGGGGGCGCGCGGGACGCGGGGAGAGGTCAGCTGGCGAGGCGGGGGCTCTGCGCGCGGGACGCCGGCTGGAAGGGGTCGCTGCCCGGCGCCCGCTGAGCGGGCAACAGTTTAGTTTGCGATTCCAGTATTGACTGCAGCGGGTGCTGAAATGCTTCGCGCGGGCCTCGGGGGAGATTTCCCGTCTGGAAACAATACTGTGGTCTATAAGCCCGCTTCACCTTTTCTTTTCCCAATTTTTAAAATCTGTATGATGTTGACAGCCAGTGTCTTAGAATTGTTCCTTCGAGTTATGGCTTCGAATTTGATCCCTCCTTGAATAACTTTGGGAATCATTCTGTCTTTAATCTGTCACTCCTTTTATTTTTAGCCTGGCAAAAACAAGGAACTGCTTAATATCAACATATACTGACTAGGGAAGTGCAGAATCTGAAACGATTTATTAATCTCAGTGTCTGCTTTTAAATGCAAAGTGATTTTAAATTCGTGGTGAATGAATTAAATATTTTGTAATTTACACTTGCTCTATATGGTAATGTGGCTTCCAATTATTTTGTTTTTCTTAGTACATTGATTTGGTCAGCCTTAGCAAAATATACATTTGAAGAATTTTTTCCTCCCTTCAGAGGCTTTAGCTATAGCCTTAGTACTTGCGCTTATTTTTAGAGATTTATATATTAAAAAGTCATCCCAAACTGAACGTTTTCATAACATTTTAAAAATTGTTAGGGGGTCTTCTGCGAATGTGAAAACCATGCACTTTAACCTAAAGTATCATGTAATAACATAACAATTTACTAAGCTGACTGTTTGGAGTAAGGGCTGTTAAATATAAGGGAAGGCAGTGGGTATATATTCCTTGTCAGTAGTAGTGACAGCCTCCAGATACCAGAAGAAAGCCATCTAGAGATCTGGGGAGAAAGAGCCATGCCTGATACTATTCATAAATTGATTCCAGGAAGATAACTTGCTGGGGAAATACTCTCTGCCTCCTACACAGGTTAGTTGTCTGCATGCATCAGGTAATATTAAGTTAGGTATTTGTCAGGTAGGAAGTATGTGTGTTCTAATATTTGCCTCTTTCTGGTAGGTCATGAAGATGTAGTGAGCAAATTAACCACAGTGTAATAGATTTGTGTGTGTGTGTAAGAGAGAGAGAGAGAGGTGCAGGGGGTGAGAGGATTCACCAGAGACAGAGTGGGGAGCAGAACATGCAGAGCCACTGAAATACATTGCTGAGGGGAAGCAGTTGATGTGACAGGAGAGGTCTGCTGGGCTATGTTGGGTCAGCTCTCTGGTAGGGAATTGAAGGTGGTGATAGCTCTGAAAGCTGAGATTTAACCCCCTAGCCCATGGGGGAAGCCCTTTTTTTTTTTTTTTTTTTTTAAGTTTAACTCAAACTGTCAAGAAGGTGGTCTAGCAATTTTAAAGCCTTGAACCTTTTGCCAGTCTACTAAAAGTAAAATTGCAAGGAATATGTAATGGGAAAGACTTTACTAAACTGAGCCAAAGAAAGTTAGGGTGACATTTAGGAAAAAAATGAGGATTCAAAAGTCGTTGGACTGTTTATATATGTCTCATTTAATCCTTGGAAGTAAGTTTTGTGATTGTTGTTTTCCCTGTGATTTTTTTTTAAAAGATTATTTATTTTTGCATACAAGAACTGGGGTGCAGGCCAGAGGTGGGAGGATTCACCAGAAACAGAGTAGGGTGCAGAATACGTGGATCTACTGAAATACACTGCTCAGGGGAGCAGTGGGCAAGACTGTAGACACAGTTCTGCCGTACCACGTGAGATTCCCTGTTTGGGGAGCTAATGCATGCTGCAGTGGCTGCAGATAGCTTCACAGTGCTGAAACTTAATCTCTTGCCCCACCAGGGAGGCCCATGTTTTCCCTGATTTATGGATGAGTTAACCAAAGATTTGTTCAAGATTTATTCATTTGTTCAAGATTTCTCAGTAATAACTTGGTGAATGTGGGATTCACATCTAAGTAGTCTGATTCCAAAGCCTGTGCACCAAGCCATTATGCTTTGACATAATGACACAGTAAAAATAGCTTCTGAGAGACTTGGTAGAGGAGATTCATTAGTAGAAAATAATGCTGAAAACCATAAATTAGAGTATTGTACATATTCCATAACACTTTGAGATGATTGCATCATAGCCTCTGTTAAGTGTTGCTGGAGTTAATAAGGATGGAGTCAACTTCCGTGTGTTCGAGGACCATCTTGTTTAGTGGAAGAGCTAGATAATATGAACAAGTAATGATAATATAAACTTTTTAATAAGAGAGTGTCATGTAAGTCTATGATTTCATGAAAACAACTTATTTAAACTTATTTAAAGTTTAGATAAACCATAGTGTGAATTCCTGCTAGGAATTGGGAACATAAAAGTGATGCCAACTTTTTTTGTTCCGTTTTAAGTACCCTATTAAGTGGAGGGGGTAATGTTTCAAATGGGAGTAATGAATATTAAAATATGTAAAGTATGGACACATTGGTAAGCCCTGAATAAAAAAAAATGCCAGAATAATTTTAAGAAAGACAGTGGAGGGCCTCCCTAGTGGCCTAGGGGTTTAAGTCTCAGCACTGTCACCTCTGTGGCTTGAGTTCCATCCCCAGCCAGGCCCACATGGCACAGCAGACCTCTTCTGTCTCACTGGCTGCTCCCTTTAATAGTGTATTTCACTAAATTGGCCTACTGTGCTCCCCACTCTGTTTGCTGTGTCTTACCTCCTGTACTTCTGGCTTGCACCTCAGTTCTTTTACACATAAAGAAAATCTGAAAAAAAAAGAAAGACAGTGGAGAAGAGTTTGTCGAGGTCTTAGCGGGGTGCTGCCATTGGAGCCTTAAAACATGAGTGGTAATTTTCATATGTGGAAGGAGTATGTTCTGCACAGAACGGGATCTCAGAATATGGAATATGGGTTACTGAGGGAATGTTAAGTAATTGTATAAAAAGTATTTGCAAAGACTGAATTTCAGTGGTAAGTGTATGTATGTGGCTTGTTAAAGTGAGTACTATACAATTTTGGTGGTCAGAAATTCCGTATTTAGGGCTCTCTTTGGTTGCACAGCAGGTTAAAGCTCAGCACTACGAAGAGCTATCACAGCCACTGCAGCACGACTTTAATCCCCGGTGCTCCTCTCAGCAGTATATTTCAGTACATGTGCCTGTTCTGCTCCCCCTCTCTCTTTGGTGAATACTCTCATCTCCCCCCATCTTCAACCACCCCCTATGCACCTCTGGCCTATATCCCAGTTCTGTATGCTTAAAGAAATAAATCTTAAAAAAAAATAGAATTTTCATATTTAAATACTTGTAAGGAAACCTCCACTCTTTGTGCATGCAGTCTTACATTTTTATTTATTTTTGTTTGTTTATATATTAACTTTCAATACTTATTTCCCTAGTGCAAATTGAATTATTTCCAAACATGTCCAAGAAAGCAATTATTTCCTTATTTCATTGAGATATTCCATTTTAAGCTATAAAGTCATATTAACACCACTAGAAGAATTTGTACTTGATTTGTGGACTACATTTTGGGATTAATTTAAAAAGACTTAAAGTTATTGTTACTTTCCCTTAACCCTTTTATTGAGGATGTAGAATCAATATTGCAAGCTCCCGTTTGCATGTATGTTGGCTTTCTTTTCTGACCCAAACTTGAGATGTGACAGTGGGACAGAATGTTCTAAATTGGCACTGTCCCTGAAATCTGAGTAAAAGTTCCATGTTTATATATTCCCCTCAGGTTGTACAGAACCACAAATACTCATATTGGATTTATAAATGTGGAACATCACTTGATGTTCAGAATCATATGACTAAGATGAAAATATTAAATGACATTTAGCAAAGCTGCATTTTTTTGTACAGCTTAGTTCCCTTGCACAAATTGCTACAAATGATACAAAATAGAGGTGAATTTGCAGGTGAGAAAATATGACTGTTTCCTAGAACAGGTAGTTTTAGGGCACTAGGAAAGAAAATATGCTGGATTTTATTCTGAGTAGTGAACAGGAACTAGGGCAGGAAATGGCTGTGGCTGAACCACTACCTGATAATAATCATACCATGATTAAATTTGACATTTAATGAAAGGAAGTAAAGGGGAGAAAGTGCACTGTAAGCAGCTTTCCAGTTTTAGAAATAGTAAGGGAAAGGTGCTGTAAAGAGTGTATCAACAGAAATTTTGAGGACATGTAGCAGGTATTCATATTTGTTGCATGAACAAAAGTTTCTAGGAAAATATTCAGTAAAATTTCTGTTACAAATAGCAAAAAATTTATGCAGGCTGTATGGCACAAAGTTTTGTGCTCTGTAGCTTGAAGTTCAGGTGTCAATTCTTCAGTCTTCCTGTTGTGTGGCTTTGGGCTTATTATGTAATCTTAATGAGGTTCGGTTTTAGTCACAAAATGCAAATACCTACTTTGTAAGGTATTTTAAGAATTAAATGAGCTAATGTATGTAAAGTAATTGGTACATTTGCCCAGCTTATGAGAAGCTGACAAAATGGTTGCTGCAATTACTCGACTAGGTTAATTATTTTTTTTAAATGCAATTTTCAAATAGAGCAAGGAAAACCAGGAAGTGGACCCAAAAA